CCCCCAAGAAAAACAAACAAGTCAGTAACAGTGGTTCTGATCTCAGAAGAGGAATGCCAAGCTCAACTATTTGTATATATCCAGGTAGTGTCTGCAACAGACACAGAGTCCTTTCTTTGTGTTCAATCTGAGATGGTGGATGTGCTGCCATGTTTGGTACTAAAATAGATGCAGGCAGTGATGACAGCAGTTCAGGCTCAATCAGCAGCTTGATTTGGTTGGTATCATCTGTCCCTTACTGAGGCCACCTGCGTGGGGGTGCATATTTGTACAGGTGTGTAAAAGTTGCTAGTTTGTAATGTTCTTGTGAGCAAACCAAACATCTACAGTATTGACAACATACCAATAGTCAATAAAATACAGCAGGATTTATCAGGAAACATTGACCGGAGCTATAAGAGAAAACTTGAATTCTGCCTTCTGAGTCAATGAACCAGAGCTATTTTCAGTTCTTCATAGCTGAAACTGAAAACAAAAGCATTAGCACCCCAGGGAGGGGATACCCCGGGTTTCATGTTAGCTAAGCCATTAGTAACTCAGGTGCAGGCATTCAGTAAAAGCCTCCATAAATTGATAACCCCATTGAGCCAGTGACTTTGCTTCTGGGGTTTTAGGTGGACTGCATTCTTTGTCAGAGCTTCCAATTAACCTCTCTCACGACAGAGTATAGCTCATAGGAGTCATTAATGTGGAGATACAAAGAGCTTGTCACAGTTTGCAGAGAGTTTACAGAATTTCTTGTTGATTGGGCCTTCCTTTAAGGATGCCAATTTGTGAGTCAGTTGATAGTAAAGACTGAGTAAAAAGTAACTACTTAAAAATCCAGAATGTAAAGCCATTCATGCTTAATCTTATGACAAATGGTTGAAAGTATAAGTGTAGAGGAAGAATTACAGACATGTTGAGGGTCTTGGCATAGGACTAAGAATTGGTTTGGACCTTAAGTGCCAGTGTGATAGGGAAAACAACAACAACAACAACAACAGATGGAAAGCTAGCACACCAAGAACCATAAGTACAATAGAATGAGCTACTGTTACAATGTTTGAAATAGCTGAGACATTAGGATCAAAAAACTGAACTCACTTAATAATAATCTTCTGTAAACATCTAGTTCCCATTAGCCTTTTTGCTAGCCATATTTGGCTGTAGTTTTAAGATTTTGTTCTATCCCTGCTGGCAAGTCCATAAGGCTGTGATTTCACTTTTTCCTCCTGGGGTTCTCCATTGTTTCTGCAGGACTACTTAAGAGAAAATAGAGGAGAAAACTGGGAAGTAATTTACTTAGTCTGTTATCAGTTCTCTTACACTTACCCCTTTCTGATGAAGAAAATACCCTCTGGACTTCATGAGAATTATAATGCACATTGATATTAATTATACATACATTCAGCAGTAAAATCCACACAAACAGTACCTTCAGTCCTCTCAAAGAGTCCCATACACACGGCTTTCTTTTCCTGCAATGAACCCTGCCTAAACCCAATTAGTTGAATCCTGGTGCCCTCTCCCACCACTTTATGGTAGGCAACAGATTGTGATGTGGATTTCTTTTTTTTTTTTTTAAGATTTCTTTATTTTTATTTATTTATACAAGAGCTGGGTATAGTCAGAAGCGCAGGAGGGTGAGAGAATTCACCAGAGCCGAGTGGGGAACAGAACAGGCAGAGTGACGAAATACACTGCTGAGGGGAGTAGCCGGTGCGGCAGGAGAGGTCTGCTGAGCCATGTGGGACCCTCGCCCGGTGGCCAGGGATCGAACCAGCGATGCAGAGCCTGCAGGCAGCTTCGCAGCCCAGGGCTCAACCACTGCGCCACCAGGGGAGGCCCTGTGATGTGGATTTCTGTATTGTATTGATCAGGTCTGAGATATTTAGCCGCTAACATCAGAGAAGCAGGAAGATTTTGCTCAGGGCCCAAGTCAAATGCATATAACCACAATGTGAATTGATTGAGGGTCATCCACATCACGATAATAAAAACATATACTTGGCAGTGAAAATAGGGAAAGAGACTGGCCAGGGAGCGGTGGCCTGGCCTAGTCTGGAGAGCTCCAACATTAATCTATCTCTGAAGAGGAAGGGATGCCACTTCAGCAGCTATTGCCAAACTCTGGAGAAGGTCTTGCAATCACAGGTGCGGAGACCATGAACATCTCAATTTGCCTCAACTTTGGTGCTAATGCCACTTCTAGAAGACATCTTATTAGCACCACCTATTAATTCTGATTTAATAGACCTCTCTACACAGTCAACATTTTATCTGTACTTGCCTTTCACATGGTCTTGTTGTCAGTGGCCTCGTGAATGTGTTGTAGTTTTTTATTGATTACTAAAGTCAGCCTATCAATAGTAGCCCTCCTTTCCATCAGCCAGTTTCATTATGTTACAAAGAATGACCACAAAGGAGGGAGATTCCGTGTTCCCTGGCCTTCCTCATGAAGGCTGGAGCTGACAGTAAGGAGAAGCCAGAGACTTGGGGGAGACACTTGGAAGAGAAAAGACATGCTTGCTTTTCAACTTTGACTTGCACCAGGATTTGGGAAACATGGAAGGAGACACATGGGATCGAGACAGGCAGAGACACTTGGAAGAGATGTGGGTGACAGACATGCGGGGACCCTGAGAATGGTAGCCCTTATCTTGATTTCTACTTTGATTTTGCTTCTTTTGTTCCAAACTTGCCCAACAACTTCTGCTCCTTTCCCATGATTCCCTGACCGAAGGTGCTTTAAATATGTGGCAAGTTTTCAGGCTCCAGCAGCCCCACTCTGGGCAGACCCTATTTGGCTAGGCGTTACTGAGAGGGGATAGATTACTGGTTTTACTGGAAACGATTATCCGTTCTTCTCTTCTCTGTCTATGCACACGAATCCTAGTAAAATTCTTTCATACTAAGAGTGTGCTTTGTCTTTATGTGATGAATAACAGAGCCCCATTTACAACTTGCAAGTTTGGGAGTCTCAGAGTACTCCTCAGTCTGTACACAAACAATTATATTGTCAACACATGTGACGCTGTGTAAAGCAGAATTATAAGCATTTGAGTCCTTGCCCTGGCAGAAGTTCTCCAGCATATTTGGATTGGTATTTATGACCTTTACTTTCTCTTGGGAACAGAACAGCTTTAGCTCCAGTTTTAATTATCTTTTTTCATTAAAGCATCTGAGGTCAGTCTAAAGGGGAAGGAGAGGTCATGAATCACAATAGTGAGAGAAACTCTGAAGCAGTTAGCAAGGGACATTTACTGGAGATGACTTGCAGTTCAATGAAATAAGCTTCTAATGTTTTTGGTCCACCCATAAGATCAGCAGCATTGCCATCAAAACTGACAGTCTACAGACAGGCAGACGGAACATATGTCTCCTGGGGGGCATTTACTAAACAAAGGTGCATCACCCACAGTCGATGACCACAGTAAGGGGGAGAAACCAACTGAATCAAGGTGCTAATTGAGCCAGCACTGCTACAGCCACTGCCTGTATCAATTTTCTTATCAAACTTGGCACACATCTGCCATCCCCGACTGAACACAAAGTAAAGGACTGATATGGAAGCTACCTGGATGTCCTCAGGCAGCTGAGCTTGACATTCATCTTAGCAAACATTTTTTTATTGGTAAAAAAAATCTAAAAAAACAATACGCTATTCTGCCTATCCCAGGTATGCTAATGGGATAACGATATACAAATGTGATTTATAATGCAATGGTTGTCATAAGGACAGATATAAACTATGGCATCAGAGAACAGGAACACTGCACAGACTGGAATCACAAAGTCTTTGTTTCTTCATAGTGTGCTTGCAAATTTCTCTCTTGTAACAATTAGTGCAGGTACATTTCTCTGAAAGACAACAGTAACTTCTGCTCACCTAGGAGGCATCTAAGGACCTGAATATGAAGTTGGCTAGAAGACCAGTAAAGAAGTTGCCCCACTCAGATGAGAGTAAATAACAACTGGGGCATGATGAGGGAACTGTCCTTGACTTTATTTTCTGGTACTTAGTCTATAATCACTTCATAAATTCCTTCTCATTAACAGATCTTAAAGTGAAAGACCATTGCTATGCAGTTGAACATATAATTTGATCAAGCTTTTTGTACCAATTCCCAAAGGTGTCCTAGAAATCACTTTCATTATTCTTCAGGTCCTATAAAACTGTGACTGTTAGCATTTTATCCTTGTCATCACCACTCTCAAGAACTTCAGGGTCTAAGATTTTACCATACTTTAAAAGCAAACAAGCATCATCCCACAGTCCCATGGATACTGTCATAGACTCTTAGGATAAAGACAAAGGACTCTATAACTTGTAACAACAGCTCTAGCTAGGAGTTTTCTTGAACTGGTTCTTCAAGCCCCAGTTCCTACAGGGCAGCACAAACACGATGAAGTGATACATCACATGCAGTGGATTGCATTACAGGAAAATAACCCTCAGTCTAAGGAACAGCAGTCTTAGAAGGGTTGTAAGCAAACCTATTCTTTTCTCTGTGAGTGGACATCATTTCTATTATCCAAAGCGGTGGTTAGACAGTATCTCTTCAAAAAATAGTTCTGAACGATGACCAGCAGAGCCTTTGCTTTTTCTGAAGGCTTATTGTAAGCTCTCATATCCAACAGATAACAGAGAGCAGAGATTCCTGCAAGTGTGAGAACTTACGTAAGGTGAGTCAACCCTCTCTCTTATTTTCCCATTAACCATGTTCATCTTTTACTAGATCATCAATTTACATTTGAACATGTACTCCCTGGTGAAAAGCTTTGAAATTTATAAACTTGCCTTTGAATAGCTGTCCCATTTAATGTTTTCTCTTTGGGAGCAATAGAAAAATGGGTTAGGCAGTGTATTCATATTCTACACTGACATAAGCAATGCTAATAATATTTATTCAGGTCTTAGACATTTTAATGTGTATGTTAAAAGTCTGGAAAATGTTGAATTCATAGTGAAGAATACAAATAAGGATTACTGATTTTTTTTTACTTTTTTTTCTTAGTTTACAGGTTACTGTGAACCAAAGGAAAATGAGTCACATATTGAGCAAGACAAAGACAAACAGTGTTTTGAAAATGACACTGGTGAGGAGACAAGTGTAAGTATTTCACCATTTTCTTTGTTTCTATAGTTACCGGTGTAGGGTAAGGTAAAAAAGTATCAGGCTTTTCTGCCCTCCCGCCATTAGGATTGATGGTGGATCCCTGCAGTCCTGAATGCATGCCTGATGGCGGGCACCTGGAGTGGGGTGTGGGCATGCGTAAGTAGGTATATCTGGGCTAAGAGGCTGGGCTTATAAGGGCAGTGTCATGGAGCCGTCAGAAAAACCATGAGAGAACCAGAGAGAACCAGAGAGTGCTGGAGAGCTCAGAAAGAGTGAAGACTTGCTGGGGGCTGGGAAACCTGCCAGCCTCCTGGCCCCCCGCACTCCTGCCTGCCGTATACCTGGTAAATCCCCATAAAAGCCTGCAAAAGCCACGGAGGGCTCCAGAACTTTCTCCTCCTTTACCCCATCTTCTAGGGTCATAGAGATCCTGCCCCGTGCCCATCCTGCCCCTACACTGGGTAAGACATGTCCTGTTCCCTGTGGAGGGCAACCTAATTTCTGACTTTGGACTGCTTGGCATACTGGATTCTCCTGCTACTGAACTGACTTGACTGCATTGTTGGAGTAGTTTCATGTTTTCATTTTGAGAATTTTCTTTTCTGTGTTTAAGTGGATAGTCCTAAATTGTTGGTAATCACACAAACATTTAGAAGTTACTTCCCATCTCTCTTCTCCTATGTGGTCCAGGCCTTCTAGAAATACCTTTCCATTAGTCTTTCTTAGTGGTTTTCAGATCCTATGGAGTTTTGGGGTGTCAGTAGCTTCCCCTAGGCTATCCAATCATACCTTTTTGTGATTGTCATTTGTGTATTTATTAAAGACAGGGACTCAAAATCAATCATCTGTGGGGTAATATTAAAGAGATCATTGTGCTACACAGGTGAAAACAAGAACTTAAATTCAAGAAAGGTATGTACATTCCCAAGTACAAATATTATATTAATCTGTAGCTTCAGGTTTAATTTATTTATGATCAAGCATCACAGGTGATCTTTATTTCTTGTGGCCTTTATTTAACACAGTCCAATGATATGAAAAGGTGTTTGGGTCTCCATTTTATTCATAATTGGTTTAGTTTTATTCACACCAACATAATTATTAAAACACTGAAAATAAATAACAAATGTTATTAAGTAATTAAAACACACATAAAATTCTTTTTTGTAGATTATTTCATAGGAATTGCATTTATTGTGGCTTCTTGAAATATACCTTCAGTAATGTTTCATCTTATCTTTTCTCTAAATCTGTTAGAAAGAAGAGACAGTCTATTATGGCTCCATATTTCAGATAACTTTCAAATAAAGGGTGCTATATCCACTGATATTCAAAGAGTGGCAAATATTACTAGAAGAAAAGTTTTTTTTTGTGGATTATCACTTGTGATGTGTGCTGATTTCTAATTGATTCTGTCTACAAGTGTTGATTTGGTCTGAGGATTTGGACAGAGTTCTGAGTTGGCCCCAACTATGAATTTTTATCATTACTTGAGGAATTTAGATAAAATAAGGAAGATTGTATGGTAAATTGTCCTTTCCTATATAAGGAAACCATGCACTTAGAGAAAATTTAATTAGTGATGACTTTTACGGAATCTCTCTATCAGAGACCATTGTTTCCTCTACTGTTTGAGACGGTTACAATACACTAAATGTGGGCCTCCCCGGTGGCGCAGTGGTTGAGCGCTGGGTTGCAAAGCTGCCTGCAGCCTCTGCAGTGCCGGTTCGATCCCCGGCTGCTCCCCAGCCACTGGAGGAAGATCCCACATGGCGCGCAGACCTCTCCTGCCGCCCGCTGCTCCCCTCAGCAGTGTACTTCGGTCCTTCTGCCTGCTCTGCTCCCCGCTCTGGCTCTGGTGAATTCTCTCACCCTCCCGCACTTCTGACTGTACCCAGTGCATGTATAAACAAACAAACAAATAAAATAAATAAAAAACATGTCTCTAAAAAAAAAAAAAAAAAAAAAAAAACAATACACTAAATGTGATTTCAGGAAAGGAAGTCATCTGTTTTGGTACTAGCACTATTTTTTCTCCAAAAGAGGAAAGGGAGGGTGGATGTACATACTGGACTCATGAATACTTTGAAAGCAAATAATTAGACTTCCTGGCTGTGCAAGAGGATATTTGTATTTTTACTTCCTGAAAATGAAGTCATCAAGTATTAAAAGGATTCAAATGTGCCAGCTTGTCATGAATCTTAATTAAATAAATGCTGGTAAATATGTTAGGGAAATTTTTGTGTTTTTATCATGAGAAAGTATATTGCTATTTATGCTATTTAAATTCTAAAAGCTTATGCTAGTTAAATTCTAAAAGCTTCAATTTCTTTATTTTACAGGGTAGTTATGAGATGTTAATAAGTTCCTGCATATAAATATGTTTAGTACTGCCCTGCAAATAGATTTTCACTCTTTTGAGATGAATTCCAAATCTTACATTTACTTTATTGATGAGGTATACTCTGTTATGAATAGTTCTTAGAGTTTCCTTGGATTTATGCTTGTATTACATAACATAAAAATCTATAACATTTTTTGCTTGGAAACCACTTGGCCAAAAAGAGGCTCCTGCCCTGCTAATTTGGTCTTGTCACTGACCAAAATAAGTTCTGATTCAATTAAAATAATACCAGAGAGGGCCTCCCCTGGTGGCGCAGCGGTTGAGCACTGGGCTGCGAGGCTGCCTGTAGCCTCTGCAGCGCTGGTTCATTCCCTGGCCGATGGCGAGGGTCCCACCAAAAAATAATAATAATTTTAATAATAATAATAATAATACCAGAGAGAATTTCTTAGTTATCTTAAGAAAAAAATAATCATATGACAAACAAAAGGATAGTCATAATTACTGTCAGGACATAATATTATAGTATCTCTTTGGTTCATAGACCACTCTTCAAAGGTTTTGACTGCTAAGCATAAGTTGGAAATCATAGTTGTAAAGATTTATTAAGTATGCCATTGGACTTTGGTTTCTTTATTTTCAGAATGAGGATACTAGATCAGATTTCTCTTGAGGATTCTTGGAGTAGTAAAGTCTAATTAGTCGCTGACAGTCAATAGCAAACAATATATTGTATTGTATAAATAGAGGACCCACTGAGAATATAATTAAGGGTTTTTAGTTAGCAATAGCTGATGAGCACCACAAGAATTTAGACTTATGTGATAGATATGTATCTAGAGCAATAAACAGGAAATTCATTAGGCCAAATTAATTTCAGAAAACTTCAGCAACCCAATTCATAGGTAAGCAGTTCTTAAAGTGTGATCCCCAGCTAGCAACATTAGCATCTTCTAGGGACTTCTTAGGAAAGTTAAAGCTTAGATTCCACCCCAGACCAACTATATCAGAAATGTTGGGTATGTGGCCCAAACATATTTGTTTTAAGAAGGCCCCCAAGTGATTCTTAAATAGGCTACAGTTTCAGAACCACTGCACTGAGGAATATAACTTTGGACTCTCCTGTGGGGTTATTCACCATCTCTCCTGTCACATGCTTTAAATGAACCAGAATTTTTTAAGACAGTTAGGATAGAAGCTATGGCATCATCCATACTCATGCTGTCAGATTTCTTGTTTGCCTTTCTCATTTTTTCAGTGCTCTTCCCCCAAAAAATCATTTGGGACTGATTTTCTGATCTTCAAAAACATGCATTAGTCCTTTATTCCTCTCTACTGTCAGTTGTCCGTGTTTAACTATAGCTTAATTCATGATAGTTTTCCATAAGGTATTTTGTCAGATGGGCGATATCTTGCACAAAGATCCATAGAAATCAAAATCAGAAATAACTTTCCATTGCATTCCTTATCTGTGTCCAGCATAATTCCTTTCCTACTTTTGATATACATTTAGTTGAATTTCTCTCTCTCTCTCTATATATATATATATTTGGACATGCTTTTCCCATATTTAAGACTTAGACAGCTATTTGTGTCACTACAGTGCTCTGTTTTCAGTTGTAGGCTTCATCTTGTTCTGGTTTAAGGACTTCAGGGAATCATGGTGTAGTCACTTACCATATGACATAGAAAATCCTGAAGTTACAAGGCCAATACAACTTGCAATATTTATTGTAGCTATGCTTTCTAAAACTGGTGGAATCATGTAAATCCAAAGGGAACAATTAAAATTTGGAAAATGAAAATGAAGACATCATTGAGAATTTGTCTGTTGATTAAGAAATAATACATATTTAATGTAGTTTCTCTTTTAATTTTATTGCTATTATTTCCTTTGGATACTTTTAAATAATTAGAAGTATTTTTTTAGGGATATTGTAGGGTAAATGATTTCCAGGCTTTGCTGCCATCCTGCCATTATGATTGCATGCCTGATGGTGGGCACCTGCAGTTTGTCACATTGTTATCTTCAGTTGTATTGTTTACTTCTGTGGGCCATGGCTGTGGTATTTGTATTAGCCAAGAGCAGCAGAGAAAAGAGAGCGCCAGAGAGCTGGGAAAGAGGAAAAAGCAAAAACTTGCCTGGGGCTGAGAGGCCTACCGGCCTCCCGGCACCCCTGCCTGCCATGTACCTGGTATATGCAAAAGCTCAATAAAAGCCTGAAAAGGCCACTGAGGGCTCCAGGACACTCTTTTACCCGTCCACCTGATCATAGAGATCCTCCTCTGTGCCCTTCCTGGCACTACAGGTATGTTCTACATTTAAATAAATCTACAATAAAAAGACAAAGTTTGGAACTTTAGTCTTCCTGAGTCCTAGGGAGAAACAATGAGTACTTTATTTCATTTTTTTATTTTTATATATTTCTTACATCATTTTTCATTATTGAACAATGTATGCATTTTCATCTTGGTTATAGTCCCCATACAATTCCCACTCCCCTTATTTTGAACCTACTCCCTTCTTCCTCCCCCCGCATCCCCCCCCCCACCAGTGTCTCTGGTTTATAGTTGCTTATTGATTTTGATTTTTACTTTATTATAATTAGTCTTTTTCCTGGTCCCTTATTTAGGTTTTCTAAATTCCTGC